GAAATTATGTCCATTTGGTCCAAAATTAACAAAAACATATATTGAAAAATACACAAAAATTGGTAGAATATTGGCGGGAAAGATTATTATTACTAAAATTAAACGTTATCTCTATGTACCAATACGTCTTAACAAATGTAGCGTATGTCTATAGCAATGGTAATTGTGGGATTGGAAATCGGATCTATCGATGTGGTCTGAGGGGGAAAACAATTATTTAATTACCTAACTTCAAATCATCGACGCAGGTTACTGATATGGTAGATCTTTCGCGCGCTAACGTTCAGTATGGGAAATAATGTAACTTCGAATCTACTAAAATCTACTACATGCTAACAGACATGTATATTTCCTGTCACGTGGCTACTTCACAGTGTTTATGTTTCCGTTTAGCAATGGCACACACACACACACGGTGGACACACTTTAATATGTAAATTTATGTCAAATAATGTATTAACTGATAGAGCAATACCAGTTGTTATTTTAGTTTTGCGGTAACCGATTAGGTAATCTGTAAAATTAGGCTTAAAGCGGGAGAGTCGTCACCAGCGCGTGCGTCAGATGGCCATAGCGTTTCATTGTTTACAAACAAGCGTCTACCTATATGCCTTTGCGCTTTTAGCGTGTGTTGTTATCGTCGCTTGGGACTCAATTCCCGCGCGTGCGCAGGTGACGACCCTCCCGCTTTAAGCAATTCACGGATACTCATGGCTAATCAACAAGTTTTTGAATTTGAATGAAACACTAATGCTTTACCAGTTTCCATATTTACCAGCTCTAAAATGATTACGCACATGATGTATAGTATAACTAGATTTTTTAAAAACCACTTGTCTGTTAAAATGGTGTGCCCTACTTTTTGATGGATACAGTAGGATATTTATTTGTGTAGTATCTCTTCTCTTTGGCTGCTATTGCATTTCTGCCAGGGGCTGGTTTTAACCTAGGTCACTCACTATCTCAAATATGTTACTTCTGAGAGTATGAAACAGTTATCAAACTCCACCATGTTTATTTGCACGGCAAGGCAACATAGTTGCTGCGTTACGAAACGTTTCTCGTTTTTTTCTTTATGCGCAAGCACACTTTACAGAACGGAGAGCGTCCATTTTGATCATATCTGCACCAAACACGTAAATTTAACACGAGTTTAATCTAGTTTATTTATATTTTTCTTTTGTTTTTCTGCAGCTCCTTGGATCGAGACCCCGCCAGATGACATCGTTAATTCGACAGGGGGTGATATCACTCTCAGCTGCGAGGTCATGGGTCATCCCATACCTTATATTGAGTGGAAAAAAGAAGGAAACCCCGTGGTTTTACCGGGTGATGACAGACATATGGCGGTGCAGTCTCGCGGTGGACCGCATAAACATGAACTGACTGGATGGCTGCAAATCCAAGGTCTACGTAAGACAGACGTCGGACAATATACTTGCGTTGCTCGGAACGACTATGGGGTTGCCCAGGCAACGGCAGCTATCTCCGTCATGAGCATTTTATCGGTAAGTGGGCCCTGTTGCACAACGATCCCCAAACAAGCCATGTTACGGTGTGTTTGGACTCGGATTTGGGGAGGAGAGCATTTTTCAACCACAAAATTCTTGCCATACATTTCTAAGGAAAAAAATATTGCGGCTAAGGAGTTGAGCATTAAATATTGGTTAATCGGGCACTCCAAAACAAAAACAGACGGCCTCGTAAACAAGCGTGTACCAGTTTACATAATCATGTCTAAGCGAGCCATGAACATTCTGTTTTGGGAAGCGAATGCGCACTAAAAAGAACAACCTCGCATTGCCTTAGCTCTACAGCAACACCACTCAAATTCCAAGAACATGCCGATGATCACTCTTGCGTTGCTTCTTACAGTTTTTCACTATTTATTATTTTATTGACGGTGTTGCTATATGAGTTTGAGCACAGTAGTACTTCGTATACTTGTAACGATGTTTATTTGAAATCC